CTCACAGAAGCCATTCACATCAAACGCCACAAGCCTACCATCAACCGTGACCAAGGATACTTCATTCCATCTGCTTATGATCCACTCCTCCACCAAGCCCAGTCTATTGTATAAACATCGCATCCATTGTATAAACATCTCATTGTAACTACATCTCTGGCTTCCATTCACTATCCTTTATGTACTTACTGGCTTCATCAGCTTACTGCTTAGCCAATCATGGCAATTATGTTGCTTCCTTTGTCTATTATGTTGTTTCATTGTTATATACAGTATATATATGCAGCTCCTACACTTCATGTATCACTCTTGCTTGACAACGGTACAAGAATCTGTATCGAAACGTCGCACTCACGAAAATAAAGAAGTTGTTATCCATAAAACTTGTTATATATTGTCATCACATTTGCTAAAATAAAGATGCTAACTATATTCAATCAGTGTGGTCGTTCAGATCCATGTTTAATGTGTACGATTTTGTGGCAATAGCGAGCTGACATGAAATATCAAAGCACATGTCGGTGATGAAAATAGGATGTGTGTCATTGTTTACATATCGCCCATGTAACGACGATTTTCGTGTCTCGAAACTGCTTAAATAACGTGTTCGTACACTGAAAGTAACGATGGGTGTTGTTCTGGTGGCGTATACTTTGCCATAGTATCGATGAAAATGCTATGAAAAAAATCTAACCACCTGTTCTCGGATTTTTCTATAGTAAGTGTATGGCGCGTCTCCCTGCAGTGAAGGCCGCCATTCAGCAGTGGTTGCCTGGGTCAGTGTCGGAGCGTAGCGCAGGCGTAACAAACCCAGGGAACCAGGCTGGTCAGACCGGTCGTGATGCCTACGACTCCAGTGATCTTCCGGTGGTCAGGCCACCTATATATCGGGACATTTAATACGATAGCTGAATAAAGCTTTCATTACTCTTTCACATATTTCAACATGAACTTTATGAAAGAAAGACACGTGCGATGCTGATCAATAGATGAGACATATTCAACACACAGTTAGCAGCATAAACATCCTTTAGATGATCTCTCCTTGTGCCTGTAGGCAGCACATGCATTCCATATTCCATGCCAGGGGAGTCTAAGCAGCCTAATTGCCATCTATGGTCTGATCTGTTCTTTTCAGCAGCTACTTGCTTCGTTTTGGCCTATTTTACGAATAAACATTGCTTATCTGGATATCCTATTACATATCTTAGTTAGCGTGAATTCTGTGCTTGCCTCTTATAATTTTTTTATAGTGAAGAATCTTGGTAACATGACCTATGACCTCCTGCTGAGGAATGTTGGTTCAGATGGTTCACGAAACCTAAACTTGTCTCAAGTGAAGAATCTTGGTTAATATGACCTCCAGGCAAGGAATATTGGTTGCCTGCTGTACGTGGCGACTATACGAGTAGGCTCTGTCACATTGAAGATCAATTCCTACCATACCCCTAACTGCTTGGATGCTGCCGATAATAGGAATCACGGGTTTATCCAATCCACATTTGAGTATTTAAAGACATCGTCATTAGCATGTAGCAGGAAAACCAAAAGCAGCGCCGTTGAACATCAAGGAATGTATTCTGGAATTATCTATTTACAACACATACAAAACTGTATACTTTGTGATAAAAATAGTCATTTGTTCGCAATATTGTATGGCTCTTCATACACATCTCATCACGACTTATCTCCCTTTGACCGCTCAGTTGTCACATCAATCCAACGTGCCCGCTCAGAGCTGTCGGTTTGGGCATCACAACACGCCACAAATTGGCAAAGCAATGCATGTGTATGTGTGCGATGGTAGTACTGTGCTCTAAACTGATTTCAACTAGATGAAAAACGATCCTGTATCGAACACTGATTTAACACCAGCAGTTTGTTCAACTGTTGTGGGCATCTGCAACCAGAAGAGTGGAACTTTCCTAATCATAAGTGTGATCAGAACAACGTCTATAAAATTGTTAAAATATGAGCAAAGATGACTCCCCTGTAAGGCAAGTCACACATGTCTGTTTAGAAAAGAGTAACAGCTGTTCAGGTTTATCACAAACATGCCATACAACATGCAACCTATTTAGTAAATTCAGGATAAAAATTGCTCATCAAAGTCACTTAGATTAAACTCAAAATAGCAATATTCTTCCTGATTTTGTATCATATGGTGTTATTGAGACAATGTATCTGAACAGAAAACAGAAGTACCGACTATAACTGAGGGTATAATTTCCATATTAAAACATAGGGGCTACACATTCTGGTCAGGACCCACAACGTTTTATGGTTTTGGGTCCTTAGGACCTGCAGCTTTCATTGTTTCAGTGCAAATATTGTTTATATTGCATTACATTATAGTGAGTGAAAGAGCATAGTTTTATGCCGCTTTTAACACTATTCCAACAATATCAAGGCCGGGGACACCAGAAATGTGCTTTACAAATTGCACCCAAGTAAGGAATCGAACCCAGGTCCTCGGCGTGACGAGCGAACGCTTTAACTACTAGGCTACCCCACAAACCATAACATTACAAGCTGATTCGTCACATTCACATCAAAAGTCATGGATGATTTGTCAGAATGATTAAAAACCAGGGATCGAGTGAGTAAGTGTAGTTGATATCTGACGTCACATCTGACACATCAGCAGTATTTCAGTCATATTGTGACAAACACAATTTTCACAGTTATCAGTAATATGTTTAGACAATAAGATTAAACTCAAGAGTAAAAATATTTCAGAGTGCAAAGTTCCTACAGTGCATCACATCATATATCTCCAAGTAACATATAATTTTGTTTAATTGAAGGGAAGTATTGTGACATGTTCACTCACTTACAACATGTAAATACCTTCACTACGTTGTCTGTACACAAGTACATACGACCAAGACGACCAACACACAGTCCCCGTGGATTCTTGACACCATCCTGTGATGTCAGTATGTTTCTAACAAACTGTCCTGACTCTGTCAGATGGATGACTCTGTGTTATGAGGTGTCTGTCACCAGGATGTCGCCTGTGCTGCTTGTGATACTGATGCTGGTACTTAGGTCTGTATACCACGTGGACACCTTCAGTGCTGTTTCCTGTCTCCTGTGGTAGGGTCATAGTTGAACACCATCAACACTCCCTCTGCTAGTGTTGATGGTGTCACGTTATACACATTGTTTGCTGGTTGTGATGGTCGACACAGGTTGGTTCCACTGTTACAATCTGTCTGGTCAGACACAGCCAGGATGTTTCCTGTCCTCGTGGTACAGAGGAAGTAGGGATACTGTAAGATGTTTCCACCTCTGTGGCCAGGACAAACTGACTTCAGCACGTGTCCCGACATATCCAGGATATCAACACATACAGAGTAGTGGGAACTTGCTGCTAGTGTTGATGGTGTCAGAGACGATATACCCCAGTACTGTTTGCTGGTTGTGATGGTCGACAGCAGCACCAGGTCAGGGTTCACTTCAACTGTTACAATCTGACTGGCGCCCGGCAGAGTGACAGCCACCTGGTTGTGTTTCAGCCTTGCTATACCCCATGGGTCACCTTCCAGACTGAGCTTGCTGTGACCTGGCTGACTGTTCCTGGTGTAGAAGGACTTTACACTGTTGTTGTTGTAGTCTGTAACTACCACTGTGTCTGTACCATTCACCTCTAACACCGTCACGTCATTGGGGTATCCTCCACATGCATCTCCTGCTACTCTCACATCAATGGTGTCCTGTAACACAGGGGTAGCATTCAGGTCCAGCACATCGTCATACTGGACGTGTATTTCACCCAGATGGAGATCTTCCAGTGTTCTACTCAGCTTGTCCGTGTCCTGTCTGAATGTTATCCTGTCTATTCTTCCCTTCTCCTTCACGTCTACGACTCCGACAGCCTCCACATCACCGGCCTCACATCCCTGATACATCTCATACACATCCATGTCACACTCAGATTGTAGAGCCTGGTCTATCAGCTCAGTCTGTTGTTGGTACATCTGTACTGACATCTCACCCGACTTTATGTCTGCCTTCAGTTGTCCAATGTGTCTGTCAGACATCTCTTTCAGTTCAGACAGAAGTTTCCGTTCCTTGACTTTGATAACCTCTATTGCTGTGAGACTTGCAGACTTGATATTCGATTCTATTTGTACATAACGAGCCAATTCTTCACCGACTTTGTAGGTTTGTTTTCCAACATTTGTTTTCATCTCATTGTGTTTGTTTAACAAATTCTTTTTATTCTTTCTCAGCTCGGTTTTCATTGCAGGAATCTCTAACTCGATTTCAACAACCAACTCACATTTCCTGTGATGAATCGTGCAGCATGTTTGACAAACAGCTGAGTTACAATCTTTACAAAGATATTTGATCCTTTTATTCTTGTGAACTTTACACATGACCTTTCTATTCACCTTGACCCTTGTCTCTCCAGACATGTCAACTACGTCATGGTGACGGGTAGATGGGATTCGTTGGTGCATCCGTGTACATCGTTCGCACAGTGCGTCGTCACAAACAGAACACAAAGATGTAGCTGGAGTTGTTTCCCCTTCCTCCTTACAATAACTGCAGTTAGTTGTATCTGAAATAACCATTCATTCATGTGGTGATATTTACCTCGTGACATCACAACGTATTATAGGACAAGATGTGGCGCATTATGAGGTGAGAAAATGTATCAGAAACATCAGAACACGTCTCAGTAATGTAAATATATTTGGAATTGTCTCATCCGTTGTTGTACGGATGAAGAATAATGTTTCTGAGGTAGACCTTGGGTCCTGTCGCCTTTCACATGCTGTCTCTTGATAGAGAAACACATGTCCACTGTACATGTTCGTTCTGTACTGATTCCTTACAAACAACATCAGGAACAGTTGTATATATATCACAGGAGCCACGCATTGCTAAATATCTTCTAAGGTCCACACATGTTCCCATTATGTATAACTAATTATCCTGTTACCTGATCACAAACAGCACCTATATTAGTACAACCGACAAACACTCACCTTTAGATCCAGGGCCAAACGAGTCCAACAGTCCCTGGATGACAAAGATAGGCTTGACGTCACCCGCCCACTCCTCCACTGGTCACTCAGGGTCAGACACTTTCGTCATCTTCCTGCAGAATGGACACAGGAGGAACTTGGCACTGATGGCTTCTGGTCTGGTTTTGGTGTAGTTGACGACACATTTCCGACAGAAGGTGTGATTACATACAAGTGTACAGGGCTTATCAAACACCTCTGTACATATGGTGCATGTCAGGAAGTGTTCTGTCAACTTCTGGGATGTCGCCATGTCTCCTTCAAAAAGACAAACCAGACATAACATACACATTCTATCCTCTACCCACTATCCACTATCCAAGTCATGACATTCATGGCAACAACACCGACCATATTTGTATTCCTCATTTTCTGACAGGTGTAAAACAAGGAAGGCCTGTTTCAAGTGATCCTGCTGTTGGAATAATGAACGAAACCCGCAAAATTAAATCATAATTAAGAAATGCAGATCATATGAACACTGAGAGGTAACATTCGAAGACGGGTTTTAACTGAGCCGTCTCTATTATATGATACATGGTGTGTGCGTGTGTGTGTTACGTTATACGCGAACACTCTTGTATTTTACGAGCCTTAAAAGCTGGATATCTCACTCCTGAAAAGTGTGCAAACTCCCAAACCCCCCCTACCACAACCACACCACACCCCTTCTCAAAAGTGTACACCCCCCTAACACACACACACACACACACCGACCACACCCCCTTCTCCAAATTGTGCCACCCCCTACCACCACACCACACACACCCCCACCCACCCCCACCCTTTCTCAAAAGTGTGCACCCCCTTAACACCACCACACACACACACACACACACCCGCCCCTTCTCAAAAGTGTGCAAATGTCTGCAGTTATGAACCGTGTGTAGCGTATCGATCACCTGACAGAGTTGCAAAATAATTTTATGATCACAGAAATAATAATGAAAACTGTTGATCGCAAAGAAACTATTTGACCTATTTTCACATGCTGACACCCGCTCATCATCATATCGAAAGTAGAAGACGTTAAGTTCGGATTCCGGTAGATTACATGTAAGATAATGTCTTATTTAGAAGTATTTTACCATATTTTATGCTGTAGCATTTATCAGAGATCAATTCAGTAATAACTATAACTTACACACATGATACATTCATCCACATACATCGGGACAGATCTCAGTATTGAAGTCAACAGACCGATCAAGGAAGTAATGAAAGAAGACACTTCATACACTGTGCTCAGTCTAAATATTGCAGGATATTATGTGCCCTGGTTTGAGAATGTGCCTGGAGATGACCTAACAGTTACATGAACCATTGTAGTGTTACCTGTACACAGTAGGACAGGTGTGTAGCGTTGTAACTGGAATAGACGCGGCCCCTGTGACAACACACTTACCGGAGACAGCTAGGTGACTGGTGTAGAGGGAAACTGAGCACCAGGCGAGATAGATACTACAGGTTCGTGGACGTGGTTCCTTCCGGACGAACTCGTGTCGTTCAGGGACAAGCTGTTTGCATGTTACGGAAAAGGACGAGTGATGTCGAATGGGTGATTGTGCTTTGAAATCGCTCTGAATGTCCAGGGTCCCAATTTTAGGATTTATTGTCACCGTCTTATAGCTGTGATCACAAACATCATAAACTTAAGCCTCCTGTGATGTAGCTGGGTAACTGCATAACTACACGTTCACGAAGCACCTGGTACCTGTTCGTTTGGATTTGAATATTAAATTTGTATCCTTGAGAATATTCAGGTCGACTCGTCTGCTCGTCACATGGAAGACCCGGGTTTGATTCCCCAACATTGGCACTATGTATTAAGCCCTTTTCAGGTGTCCCCCACCGTGATTCTGCTAAGAGCGGTGTTAAAACAATCACAAACTTTCTGAGGATGGGTAAGACTGAACATTTTTTGCACTGACGTTTAATATTTAAGAGTAAATACTGAAGTATACGGGACGAGAGTTTTGTGGTGTGGGTATCAAAGAAGGCGACCGGAGACCGTCAGAGCTCCTGGACATACCACCCGCACGTTGACCCTCAAGATTACTGAATGGTGTCGGTACAGTCACAGACTTGTGTACAGATTGATCAAGACTGACATGTGGTTAACATCGGTCACGAACCGTACGTTTCATTCCACATGAGATTCTGGTCATCAAGGATCAAGGAACATCTGTCTGTCGTACGTGGGGACTATATGAATAGGTTCTGTCACATGGAAGAATAATTGTTGTCATACACGGACTGCTTTGGTGCTGCCATAACAGCAACCACTCGTTTATCCGGCCAACACCCGACTATATACAGACTACCGCCATCAACATGTGGCTGGAAAACTGAGTGCTTCTTTGACCATCAAGTAGGCATGTACACTATATACGAGGGGCTATCAGAACGTTTTGAGTCTGAAATACTTCTAATAAATGCATGATAAAAATAACTGTATGATATGGACGAATGGTTAATATCATTTACATAAACGTAATGTTGACATGCACATGTCCCTAGTTTTCAGTCACGTGACATCTTATCACATGTACCCCTATTGAAACTGCAGAAATGGAGGAGCTTAATTACAGAGTATTCATAAAGTGTTTAGTCCTCTGAGGCCACCAGGCGAAGCACGTTGAAGAGCGATTAACATGGGACTCAGTACTCGTACTCCTGTCGATCGCTCTTCAATGTGCCCTCTTATGTCTATTTACAACAGACCGCCTCCGTGGTGTAGTGGTTACAGCGTCCGCCCGGAGAGCTGAAGGTCGCGGGTTCGATCCCAGACCGCGTCATTCCAAAAGACGTTAAAATATGGTACTTATTGGTCTCTGCCTCGCGCTCGGCATTAATGGTTGCAACAAGGTCTGGTCGGCTGGGAGTCAGTATAATGTGTCTGAGTGTGGTACACATACACACGCATGCACGTCATATGAGCGAAATATTCTCAAGCACAACGTAAACCCCAATTTCACCTCACCACACCTCACCTCACCTATCTACAACACATGGCGGTGGGGTAGCCTAGTCGTTAAAGTGTTGGCTCATCACGCCGAAGACCCGGGTTCGAATCCCCACATGGGTACAATGTGTGTAGCCCATTTCTGGTGTTCCCCGCCGTGATGTTGCTGGAATATTGCTAAAAGCGGCGTAAAACCAAACTCAGTCAGTATTTACAAACCACGGGAACAGCTCAAGTGGTCATACCCCATTCAGGCGTTCGCTGTTATTGCTCTATATAAATACCTCATCACGAGTTATCTCCCTTCCACCACACAGTTGTCAAGTCAATCAAGTAGCGGGTGCTGATTGTGCTGAACAGAAGGCAGCTCAGACGTATGCCATTTGACGGTACATACAACTCTCACACAAATGTATCATATCACACAAAAACACACATTTTAGTTTGTATACCAGTATATCCTTGCAGTTAATAGGTCGTGGTCATTATGCCTTCTTAGCGTTTTACTTTCATGCCATGTTTGCTGTTACTTCATTTCGCGATTCATCTGTGAAGATCCGGGTTACAACTGGTCTTCAGTAACCCATGCTTGTTGTAAGAGGCGACAAACGGGATCGGATGGTCAGGCTCGCTGGCTTGGTTGACATGTGTCATCGTATCCCTATTGCGTAGATCGATGCTGATGATGCTGATCACTGGATTGTCTTGTCTGGTTATTTACAGACCGCCGCCATATAGCTGGAATATTGCTGAGTGTGCCGTTAAACAACAAACCAACCAACCAATCCCTCCGTGATTCATGGCAGTTCGTGGATAACAAAAACACATGTCCACATTTCTCATCAAAGTGTAAACATCACAATACAGAAATACGCACAAATGAAACTGTGGCAGTATTTATTGCCAGTTACAAGTTTTCAACAAGTAGATACAATTCCTGGATGATTAAGTACACATGTAAATACATATATATGGTAAGGCTACACTACCACTAGTCGTGAGGCTACACTACCACTAGTCATAAGGCTACACTACCACTAGCCGTGAGGCTAAACTACCACTAATCGTGAGGCTACACTACCACTAGTCGTGAGGCTACACTACCACTAGTCGTCAGGCTACAGTACCACTAGTCGTCAGGCTACACTACCACTAGTCGTGAGGCTACACTACCACTAGTCGTGAGGCTACACTACCACTAGTCGTGAGGCTACACTACCACTAGTCGTGAGGCTACACTACCACTAGTCGTGAGGCTACACTACCTCTAGTCGTGAGGCTACACTACCACTAGCCGTGAGTGTGATACAGGGGGATCTCCTTGATACTTGTTGGTTTCAGTAACACATGGTCCAAGACTTGCCGGGCACCAGTCACATACACACGGACATCTGCCTGGACAGAAAGAACTGTTCCTTCATCACTCATCATGGACTGCATCATCGTAACTGACGCATACCCTGACCCACTGACAAGTCCAATGTAAATACAATATATCCTTACCCCTGATATCAGCCAGGCAGTATTTGATATACACTACATAATGGTAACTGACGCATACCCTGACTTGCTGACATGTCCAATGTTAATACAATATATCCTTACCCTTGATATCAGCCAGGCAGTATTTGATATATACTACATCATGGTAACTGACGCATACCCTGACTCACTGACATGTCCAATGTAAATACAATATATCCTTACCCTTGATATCAGCCAGGCAGTATTTGATATATACTACATCATGGTAACTGACGCATACCCTGACTCGCTGACATGTCCAATGTTAATACAATATATCCTTACCCTTGAAATCAGCCAGGCAGTATTTGATATACACTACATCATGGTAACTGACGCATACCCTGACCCACTGACATGTCCAATGTAAATACAATATATCCTTACCCTTGATATCAGCCAGGCAGTATTTGATATATACTTCATCATGGTACCTGACGCATACCCTGACTCGCTGACATGTCCAATGTAAATACAATATAAATGAATGGCATTTAGAATATATAACTGTTCACGTCGCACTAAACACTGCATATATATATTTATAACACACACACACAGAAACACACACACACAAAACAGAAATTGTGAAAGAATAGGGCCTGGGGTAGCCCAGTGGTTAAAGTTTTCGCTCGTCTGCCGAAGACCCTGGTTCAATTCCCAACAAATTGCAATGTGTGAGCCCCACTGCTGAGGTCCCATTCCAACCCCACCCTACGAGGAGTTCCGTGCGACCAGCATAGTGACGATTCGTCAGATTTTGCACATTCCATTCATTATATTTTTATATGTTTCTTAACGCTATATTTGACGAGTCTGCACATCTAATTAAACTTCTGTGATAGAATACTTTACTTTCACTAAGAAAATATGCTAAAACGTCTGACACTATTTCGATTTGCGTAGCGATCCTTAGTTGACATACGTTGCAGATGCAGCCACTTTGATGTATAAATATGTATTGTTATAAACCTTAGTGTCGCAGTTATAGAAGATTATTTATATAACAATGTAAAACAATATGAAGAGCGCATCGAAAAGCCTGCATTAGGCCAGTCCCTTCTGATTTACAAATATGCGTGTTTGTTTACAAACAAGTGAAAAGTACGGTCACGTGATATGCAAATTAGCCTGTGGCAGTGATGTTATGCTAAGTCATCGCTGCGCCAGAATGTGATAGAAAACCCGATTTCCGCCCTAATGTGAGACACATATTTCGGATTACCCACATGGTCACGTGGCTCCTTATTTGATAGAGCAATAGTCATTGGTCATTTGGAATTGCCGAAACACAAAGAGACTAAGTATCATTTGAATATATTTTGAATATTCTAAGTGTATATATAGGGAGGAATTTGACCTGAGAGAAAATTCAGCCTGATTATAAAGTTGGAGGCGTTTGTGTCTTCAACCAATAAACACCAGAGTAAACGTGATATCACAGTTCTCAGAGTGCATTACACACAGATCCCGCTGAGTAACATATAACTACGTCACTTTCAAAGGAAGGATTGTGACATGTTCACTCACTTACAGCATGTAAATACCTTCAATCCATCTGATGTAGACAAGTACATACGACCACGTCCACCAACACACAGTCCGCATGGATACTGGACTCCATCCTGTGATGTCAGTATGTTTCTGACAAACTGTCCTGACTCTGTCAGATGGATGACTCTGTGTTGTGAGTTGTCTGCCACCAGGATGTCGCCTGTGCTGGTACTTGTGATACCAAATGGATACATCAGTGCTGTGTCTCCTGTACGTCTGCAGATGAACACCACATCTCCCTCGGGGGTCAGACACACGACACAGTTGGTTCCCCAGTCAGACACCAGGATGTTTCCTGTCCTCGTGGTAGAGAGGAAGTAGGGGTACTTTAAGATGTCTCCACCTCTGTGGCGAGGATAAATTGTCTTCAGCACGTGTCCTGACATATCCAGGATATCAACACAGGTAGGGGAGTAGGAACTTGCTGCTAGTGTTGATGAAGTCAGAGACGTTATACCCCAGTAATGTTTGCTGGTTGTGATGGTCGACAGCAGCACCAGGTTAGGGTTCACTTCTACTGTTACAATCTGACTGGTTCC